TCCATCCTTCATCTGTCTGTCCTGCAGATCCACCCGGTTCCTAAAGGTCTGACTCAAAGTGACCATCTCTGTACAAAAACACAACATCTGGCCTCAGATCAGGTCTAAGCCGCTCTAAAGCTGGGATGGTTCTCTCCTCTCCAGCTCCACATGTCCTCCAGGCCTTCTGTCCAGCTTCAGCTGTTGATTTTCTGCCCTGCAGAGAGGAAATAACACAGAGCAGAGAGGTTACAGAGCTCAAAGTGGAACTCTTTACATCAACAGCAGCACCAGAGGGAGGACACCCCAAAGAACCCCCCCCTCTGATCTGATCTGGACCTCAGAGGTTCTTCTGAGCCAGAGGATGCTCTTAAACCTGCCCAACTTTCAGCATCAGATGTATCTGAGGATGTTCTAAGGAGGCCCTGTTCTATGTGTTAAACCCACACCGCAGCCATCATAACGTATTTAATGGAGCAAACACACAGCTCCGTCTCAATAGAATACGTTGACTAAATATTACCATATCAATTCATTTCAAACCTTTTTCTGAAGGCTACAATAACTGTGCAGGCCCCCAACAATGCATGATGGGAAATGAAAGCTGTGATTTCCATACAGATCTTGTGTAGCATTTCAGATGAACACATTCCCAGGTGCTCATGGAATGTGAAACTCAGTAAAAACAGACTTCTTAATACAGTAATTTCAATAATAAATCTAGCCTCAGGTTAAATTTGTATATGTTAGGCTAGATTTAGACGTGTGAGTCTGTTGATTTTCTTAGGGAAAGGCACTGACATGCATGTTGTTTCTATTGCTCTGAGCCATTTAAAAGCCTTTTCCTCTGTACATTCATTAATTAACAGGCCCAAGTCATCTTCAACCTTCTAACCCAAGATTATGTTTGATCGTTGACTCCCTGAACCCCAAGTTCATATAAAAAAGAAGTCAATTAAAAGACAGCTCCCTGTCGGGGAATCGAAACCCAGTCTCCCGCGTGACAGGCAGGGATACTCTCCACTACACTAACGAGGAGATGACATCATGGCAGTGTTGATGAATTCACGGACCAATCGTAAAGGTGTACTCTACATATTTATTTGGTTTTCCTTTTATATTGGTTGGATAAAGTTTGATGATACCCACCACCATACTAACGAGGAGATGCCATCAAGATAGTTTTGATGCATTTACGATCGGTCCATGAATGCATCAAAACTGTTTGACCCAAGAATCTGTGCTTATACTTTGCCCAAGAAGTCTCAAACCTCCACTTTTTCCTCATGTTATTATTTAGTACTTTATTAGCCTTTTGCATCCTCGTTTTCTGAGTGATTATTGTTTTGTACTGTCACCTTGCCCTTCCACTCTGTGCGAGTCCGTACTTGTTTAAATAAAGTCCTCGTTTTTGCCAAATCTCTGAACAGCAAACAGCAAAGCCCTGCACTCTGTAGGGCTTTGCTTCTCCTTTACTTTGCATCTACACTTTAAGAAAGGCTTTAGAGCAGTCATCTCCACCTGCTAGAGGAGGTTCCAGCCTTTCCAATAGGGGGCAGCAGGTGCTGACAGACGGCCTATCACTGCTCTGGGCATAACGCTGCAGCGTCCCGGTCCAGCCTGGAAACAACACAGAGTGTACAGCCAGACGCAGAGAAGGCTGTTTTACATCTGAAGGGATCCAAACTGGATCCTTCATTCTGCTCAGATGAAAGCAGCCGTTTAGGATAATCACTGCCTTGATTATTCTGAGAAAAAAATCCCTGTGTGTTCCATCCTGGAAGAGGACAATAATAAACTCTGCAGCACTAAAAGCAGCCTGAGAC